TAACGATACTCTTAATTTCCTTATACTGACGTCTGTTAAATACTTTTCACACATAAAATGTTGTTTAAACAATGAATACGAATAAGAACATTTTCCAGTTTAAATATATTTCTGGTCCGCTCTTGCTGGAAGCAATCCTTACATCGTTGTTGAACAATGGATAAAAAAGCTGTAGCATCCCCAACTCCCTGGCCCACCCATGCATATCCAAGACCAAGTTGGAACAATGTCTTTTTGATTAACATAGCCCAGTTGTGCTTATTTCTAGCCTCGTTAGCATTTTCAACCAGATACAGTAGCATCTTATAGGCTTTTAAGGGGTAGCGGTGAGGACGCATTGAGATGACTTTCAACCAATATAAGATAGAACGTTTCAATGCCAAGATATAGATTGGGTATCTTCCGCCTTCACCTAATACAATATCGCTGGATGTTGATCTGCGGATGCCCAGAAAACGTTTACAAGCTTGCAATTGAATTTTTTCAGTGCTTTTAAATCTTTGAACACCCCCACACCTCAGAACCATATAATAGATGATCGCGTCATCATACATATTCTCGAGAAATGTGCACCAACTCATAACTTGAAATGAAAAAAAATTAAAGTTCTTTTTACAATGATAAGTCATTTTATTGTTAGAACATCATTCATTGTTCACGAAATTCAAACTATCGTAAGTCATATGTCAAGGAGAAAACGAAGATAGCCAATCATGATTGGGTAAACTAATTTGCATATAATGATGTAGGATGTATGTTTCTCTGATACATGATACCTGCACTTTAAAAAAATGAAATTTGATCTGGGTGGATGGAAACAGAACAATGGCACAGCACACAAATATATAATGCATTTAAAATGAAACCTTATGTTTGACACTGCACATGATAAAAGCACACAGAAATGATCACATTATGTGATTTTTCTAGGACACATTTTTCTAGTGCTTGAGGCGAATCCATTTATATCGGAAGAGAGGTCGGGATTGTCAGTAGTCAATAGTCAAATTCATCATCATTATGTATATTCTCCTTCTAATCAGGATAAGTTGAAGGTCCAATTTCAAATGATGGATATGTGAACACTTTTCATGGAGTAGTTTTAATAGTGATTAGTCATTGTATTATTTTCCAGCTTTGTTCAGATCTGTATATTCTTAAAGAACCACTAAACTTCGTTTTTTGTTACTCTTTTAACCATTACATATGAAAGATTTGTGGTTAGTCTTATGCGGAACACCTAATTTATTCTTCAAAAACTTGTGGTTAATTAATACCGAGCGATTAAAAGTGGCCAAAAAGTCGCCTGCTTCCCTCTCGCCCGCCAACGAAACCACAGACAGGTTACGTAACTCCGTCGCCAGAGCACTGCAGTGACGTCATATGAGGAACGATTTTCAGTTAGTTGTATAGAAAATGTGTAGCACGCTCATCATTTTGATGATTTCTCGACATCAACGACGACATGCCGAATCGTTGCTTTGTCGTCAATTGCTCCTAGGGGTCGGGTGATGGTGTCCCCATGCACAGATTTCCACAGGACCCCACAGTTCGTGCTAAATGGGTTATGTTTGTGAGTGCGAAGCGAGCGTTGTGGAAGCCTGAAACGATATCTTACTTGTATTCAGATCGCTTCACGGAAGTTAAAGAATCAAAACTACTTACTAGTTGTAGTAAAATATGCATATGATTGATGACCAGAAAGATTTCTAAGACACAACTTGTAACATAACGATTTCTTCCTCGGAAGTGAGGTTGTGGTCGAAGTAACAACAGTATTGTAAGTAGTATTATATTGACATCCACCTCGCTGCCACGAGAGAAATTGTTATGATATACGCTATGTCATGCAAAATCCTATTGGCCATCAATAAAATACATATTTTACTACCAGTAGAAAGTAGTTTTGATTTTGTAACTCGGTGAAAACAAATCTGAATACCATTTATCCTCAGACTGGCGGATGTTCCCGATAGGGCGCCGCCATTTTTAAAAATAAAAAAATCTGTTAGAATTAATGAGATTATAGTTTGTTTTCATCAAGTTAGAAAATCAAGACTACTTTCTACTCGTAGTTAAATATGTATTGGAATCATAACCAAACGGATTTTGCATGACACAACTTATAACATAACGATTTCTTCCACGGAAGCGAGGTGGGGGTCGAAGTCACAATACTGCGCGATAAATTTCTTGCTACATTCCCATGGTTAATGTCCACTAACCAGTATGTAGATACTAGTCAATGTGCGTCTTCATATTTGGTCTTCTAATTAGTTTGTTATCACACTTGTATGCATTTTGAAACCTAATTAAGCAGACGATCTGCTGATACTTATAGTGAATTTATAACAGAACTGTAATATCTAGACATTTTATAGTTTGCCAATGTGAATCATAATTCGCACACCCACCCTAGTGCATGTTGTCTGTCTCATTACACTTCACGGTGAAAACAATGATTCTGTTGAATGCTACGACAAATGAATAAAAACAAAATGCAAATATTAAATTAAAACAGATTAACATTATAGGAACAATATCAGGCCATTACCTTGTTCGAGGAATGTAAACATCAATATCCACAAAACAGTTCCAAATGATGTGTCTTTTAACAGTTTAATATACGAAAAAGTGATAAATCTTTTCAGGTATTGGTGTACAGTCTCATTGGTCACCCAATATAGCACACCTGGCAACTAATTGCATAATGTCCACCTTTCTTTAAAAACAGTAATTTAGTTAACCAATAATGGGCAATCAATCAATGTATTGCCGGTTAATCCTTTGAAAGAAGGACGTTGTTTTTACGCAGACACCGACACGACAGAGTGTATTCAGTATAGATTAGTAAATCTACACACATAAACACTACCTTTTGACAATTCCGCTGTGTAAGATAAAAGTAATTAATCAATCAGCGTGTTATCGGTTAATCCTTTGATCGATGTTTATAATGTTGAATATTTACTCCAGACACAAGAAATGCCAAATGGGAACCTTTGTCGGGTAATCTAAGTGTGTTACTACTAATTATACCTGTTATAAATTCATTAACTGACCATCAAGTGAATGATGACAAATAACATGTGTAGGTTTATACCACCTAACACGGGTTACAACAAGGGAGTATTAATTGCTGTATTGCATGTGAAAACTTATGGGCCGACACTGTTTTGAGAATACAAACAGATTTTTACATGACATGATTAAATATCGAGGTAAAAAAACACAGAAATGAGATCAATTTGGATCAGTCATTATACAAATAGGGCCTAACGACACCAATCGATTTTGACAGAATCGTCTATGAAAACAAGTTGTTAACTCGGAAACTAGGCAAAGCAGGAGACAAATTTAAATGACAGTAGATTGTGAGAACATATAGCTTTCATTTTTCAAAACAATTGTCACGATTTCAGGTTTATACAAGCCGGTAAACAAGATAATTTAACCCCTAAAATGTAGATGAATTCTGCATAGGCCCTCAAAGCTATTCCTCATATGACGTCACAGAGGCGCTCTGATTGGTTGAAATTTCGTTCGCGGGTGAGAATTGTGCACTGTTGTCAAAAAGGTCGATTTAAGTCAATTAAAGGTCGAAATGAGAAGTTTTAATGAAGGGGTTTCATTTATAACGATGCCAGTTAGTGATTTATGTATTTGTACCCCCTAGGGTTTATGTGACGTTTAAGTGATTGTATTTAAACTCGTGGTCGAAGACAGTAGCGCCGTTTGAAAAGAAAATGTTCTGGACGATTTCTCCATGTCATACCTTCTATTGCAGACAGTAGTTCTTGAACTTTGTCCTCTTTTTCTGAGTTTGAAGACTCATTGTCCAGAAACACACACGGACATTTACTTGCCGTGTTTCTCATGGACGTTGGCAACTTTTGAATGAATTGATCATGTGACATACCGTATGCGGACATTTCGTTTGATCTGGTAAATACAAAGACCAAATGGTTCTCAATATCGACCCCAAACTCCTTGATCATATCAGTTACCATATCCGCTGTTGTTTCATCTGTTTGTCCAACTTGTGTAACAAGGAGTATGGCATGAGGAGCATAACTCAAGTATTCATCCAGAGTTTCAACAACAGTTTGTCCTCTCCCGTATATGTGTGGTGTGTCCAAAACCTCTATGACCTTGTTGCAACGAACACATGTTTCTTTTTGAAAGTTTCTGGTCACACTGATAGCCCTCGCAGCAGATTCAAACGCTGGTCTTCCAAGTATGGTATTCCCAGTTGAACTTTTGCCGCTTCCAGTTTTACCCACCAGTGCAATCCGAACTGTACCTTGCATTTTAGTCTAAAATACAAGACGACATATATCGAATCAGATGAGATGCAATTTTACTCGATACTTGGGAAACATCAAAGATAAACAAAACGTGTGAACAGATGAAAAAGCCATAAGGAATGGTATATGCTTTCACTTATCAACTCTCCAAATACAATTACAAGTTAGATTATAGTGTATGAACACAGATTAGCACAGTTTATTAGATATTTCTAAAGTTAGTAAGTTATTGTTCTTTAAGCATAGCTTGTGATCGTTATATTGAAATAGACGAACCAAAATGAATTTTCCAATAACGGTTTATAACTGGTCCAAGGTATTAGTAATTTGATGACTAGCCTTTGAATTGCTTCCCATGCTACTATAAATCACACAATGTGAAATGTATGTGTCTTCTTCTAAAATAACATAGTGTTCCCGTACCAAATTAATTTTAAGCAGATCTGATCTTTCAAATGTAGTGAATTACTATAACCCTTTATAAATACAAATTGAAGATGATAATCACTTCGGGCGTTAATTAACTATGTTTGAGTAATATATCAATGTCTTCCAAGATCAGTTTGGAACCAAATAACATAACATGTACACAAGTATGTATGTCACTGACTACTTCCTGCTGTATATGTGCAGGTGTATAAATAGATCTTACCCTTGATAGTGTGTACACGAAAGTCCTCTGCCAGTTTACTGCCTGTCTTCTCAGAGCCGACTGACTGTAGTTGAGCCTTCAGCCGAGTTTCTGTTGATAGAACAGCATGACAATGATCAACGCACGGTCCTTACTCATTGGTCCGCGTATGCCTATTTAACGTCAGTTAACCGTCCTTGTTCAAGTTAGAGTAAAGGTATAAACCTGTGACGCTACCTTAGCCACCTAGACTGTTGTTGTACACACATACACACAGTGATGATGTCAGGGCGAAAACGTACAGGTGGGGAGACACAGACAAAGTCAGCACCCAAACGTGTAAGTTTGAATGGATGGATGAATTTGATGTCAATTGATGTATAAAGTCATGCAATGTTATTACGTTACATGAGCCTATATGAAATCTGGGCAATATTCATATGCAATGGCACCGAGCTATGTCACAACCGTAGATTCATCACTAGCAGTGTCTTCAAGTATCAGAGTGGTGTCACGGTGTCAGGTGATAGGTGTTAAGAATGCTTCAAAATGTATAAGAGATCAATTGTCATAATACGATTCTTTCACAGAATACGTTTTCATGATTACTAAAATGAGTTCTTTTTTTCCATATAGGCCAAGAAATCTGTTCCCAGAGAGCATATTGCAGGTTGGTGGAATATGCTTGATAAACTTTATGTACGATAAGAAATGATATTTATACATTGTAATATTATCTCATGTGACTACACGAACTTTTATAACTTTGTCAATTCATTCAAACGCTAATCTATAACTTACCACAGTGACACAAAGGCAGTGTTTTTGGGTCTTTCGTGAGACTAAAAGCCGGATTTTACTCAACTTACTATACCACACCTCGACTTTGTCAAGATATTTGCTGTTATTCTGCAAATACTTTGACATTGATTGATGTATGGGATACCTCTCATTTTAAGGCAATAGAAGATGGAAAAACAGAACGTGGAAGTAGTCCTTAAGAGTGGCGAACATGTTATTAACTACTTGAAGGTGGGCAATACGGGAGATTACCGCTAAACTATTTATATATATATATATATCTAGAGCCACCAGATACTCGTTGATCCGCATAGAGAGCAGTTGACTGCCTGGTGTGAAAATCACTTGATGCGGCTGGACGCACAACATGGGCTACTGGCATCTCAAATATTATTTGAATTTGAATGACTTTGGAATTTTATTTTCAAATTATTAAAACAATTGTGGGGATAACCTCACATATTAAACAACGAAAAGCGACGGACATGTTATAGGACGTGCCAAGAAACGAATGCACAACGGTTTGCGTATGATTAGAATTTGGAGGTTACCATCCTATGTACCCACAACCCGGACGGAAACTTAAGACCGTTGGTTCTAATCCCTTATTTGAAGATTTGCCAGCAAATAGGTGGGTTTGCCTGGGTTTTACCGCAGTCGTAAAAATATATACTCGATGTCAATCTATTGGTAACACTATTTCTGAAAAGTTGTAAAATCTTCGGGTCTGTAATGGTTTTGGCAGGGCAGGGGTAACTCTTACTGGACGCTCTCAAATGCACGTGGTCGACGGTAATCTTACCGGACAGCGTTATCGGGACGAGATTGTGGCTCCTATAGCAGTACCATTCCTGCAAGCTATGCATGGCTTTTATGGTCGACCCTCTTTACTGCAAGACGACGACGATTGCCGACAGGATTGTCACAGAATTCCTTAGGCAGCAGGGTGTAGAGCGGATGGCGTGGCCAGCATGCTCACCAGACCTCAACCCAATCGAGCATGCCTGGGATGAACTCGGTCGACGTGTGTACACACGTCACTCAGCACCAGTGGATCTCCCAGGACTCAGCAGAGCTCTAGTAGAGGAATGGAATGCGATTCCGCAAGTTTTCATTATGAACTTGATAAGGAGCATGAGAACAAGATGCACCTTTGTCTTGGAGGGTACACAAGATATTGAATGACCGAGTGCTTCATGTTTGTCATTTTCATTCGGAGGGTTGGTCTATACAACTGATGATTGCTAGTGCTGTTTGAACTTTTTGTCTGTATGTCACGATGTTTCACGTTTGTCAACACATTAAACATTATCATGACGCTTTTAGTTCTATTATTTCTGAGAAACCTTTCTTTAGGTGTGCTATATATCACTTGACCCTTTATTAATGACGCCTAGTGTGTGTGTATGTTGTGATAGTGATAAGTAAACATATGTATAGTATATAATGTATGTTTCTAAACTGTTTTATATATGTTACCACATGGTTTGTTTGCAGAACCATGTGATAACTGTAGACACCATTTGGGCCAAACTCAGGGTTCTCCTAACGTGAGATGTCTGCATCTCCAGGAGCATTACAAATACAAGGACCATCTTAAAAAACTCTTTGGAGGCATATATAATGATGGATCTCTATCGGTAATTCTTAACTTTGAAGGAAAAAACTCTATCCCAGATGTTCATGATGTAATCAGAACTACGGAAGAGGTTCTCAAGAAGCATCAATGTGAGGTGCAGGGAAAAGAGCTAACTCCCTCATATGTAATGCTGATAGATACATCGTGTCCTTTGTGCGCCAAATGCGTCTCAGAAGTCAGAAAAGGTGCTACGGGACAAGTGCTGAGTATGCACATGGACATAGCAGCTGTCAACAGTAAATCAAAGAAACAGAAAGAAGAGAATCCTGAGCTCACTGAAGAACGGATAGAAGTTATGAATCACTTCATGCGAAATGTTTGTGCTCTACAAAACATTTCTGGTGGCGGGAGTATTATTGTACATTTTGTTGGTAAGGACGAGGCCGATCCTGGAACATACATTGGATGGTTTGATGAGATGGTTAATACAAAACTGAATGGACTTTTACCCCCGGGTGAACTATTTTTTAATAACTTCAAACGGAAACGTTTGGAAGATTATGGCTATGTGATACAGTTTGACGTTGCTTCAAACAGCACATTATCCACTGTGGACATGAAGACGAAAGTGCCTTTGGATGACTGTTTTCTTGATCTTGATCTGGCAAGTCTTGGAACATTCATGAGAGACCTGCCATCAAAAAGTCAGACGGTCGGGACCAGGCTACAACTTCAGACAGGACATACCACGTTTGATGATCTGCATGAAAGTAGACATGTACAGCTGAAGCAATTTCCTCACAAATATCGATTGGCTAGTGCCACAGACAAAGCGAACATAATCTGGAACAGCCTGAAGTTAGGTGAAACCATCAGTGCTTTTTCCAAACAGGATGAGGGTGGAACCTATTACTGTGGGATACGTGAAAAAGTTAGATTCCTAAGACGATACAAAACAATATCTTCTGAGGTATCAGGAATTCCTTTGGAACAAGAAGAAGAAACCAGCTTGAAGACGAATCTGAAGGAGAAGATTGAGAGGGAAATGGTTGCAGTGAATGGAAACTTTGATGTTGATACAGAGAAATTATCAGTCAGCATCGATACAAAAGATCACAATCAAAAGAAGATTCTTGTTGTCAACGTTCCTGCTTATCCAGGACTTGTATTTTATGATGAACGTGGACCAGTGTCATATAAATATGATGAGGATGTTGACATTGTGAGACCACTGGAGTTAGCTGAGTGGTGTAAAGCAATAAAAAATCAAAACATATAAAGAATAGTTTCAAACCTCAGATGAAATTTAAATCAGTGGAAACAACACACACATATAGGCACGTGGTTGGTAAAGATGTATGTCATGTTTGTCAACTGTTCAACGAACAGGCTCATCTATAGTAACAGCCAATGGTCTTTGGTAGTAAATATTGTAAGAATATTTGCAACAGCATGGTTGCAGATTGTCTCTCGAGGAATGGACTCTAAGGATGGTATTACCACTATACAAAAGGGGAATTAAGACGGATCCTATCAACTACAGGAGCACTTCTCTTTTGAACATCTCAGTGACGGTTTCTACGTCTAATTTAGAAAACACACGACACCTAGGATCTTGTTTCCTTTCTCCATATTCTAAATCGATCATGTATTTACGCTACAGGCATTGTGCTAAAAATATCTCATTAAGCCAAATGTGTCGATGACATTTCACTTTTCTTGTATACGGCTACCTGTTTTACAAACACATTCTTCGAAATGGGGATTGAATGTAATCTTGATAAATGAAATGGTATTCTATTTTGAAAAGTATGGATAATATCTCAGTACGAATCACGTGCACTGGGTAATGTGAGGAAAAAGACGATACATTCTTTAAACATTCTGGAATTATATTCCAATCACGGTTAAAAGAATTTAATCGGAAACTCTTGCCATGCAAGGCAGTAATGAGATCTTAATTGTCTGTGGAATATGTCGGAAGTGCTCCAAAGTTGAAACTTGAAACATGTTCTTGGTGTGAATTCTGGACGCCAGTGTATAGAATAAAGCTAATTAAGTATTGAACTAAGGGTTTGCGAAAGCAATGAATCAATGAAGTCGATATCACTCCAAGTGTCATGTTATGCTTAAGTGTTACGTGAAATAATTAATAATTGATAATTAATTGATCTTTGTGTGTGACACATGCTACTTAATGTTGGTGTTGTGTAAGTGTGATAATACCGAGAGGTTGGTGATAAGAACATGTTTTGTTTGCTTTTAGGAGACATATTTTCTAGATATATATACTGAACCACAAAAGAAACGCCGCCTTTCAAAACGGAGTTCAAGATTTTGTTCTTACAAAATGGTGTTTTTATTTATGATTGTATCGTTTTGTTGACATGTTTTTCAATCCAAAATGACAGTTAATACCAACATCAGCGTGTTTGCTGATGAAAAAACATATCGACCAAACGCACCTAAAAGGCAGACGTGGTTAAAGGTTCCGTATTACATTCGTGAAAATGAAAATGTACGTGCATATCGTGACAACCCTACCAATGAAAGCGAGTCCCAAACTCGCCTGAAATCATTCTTGTTTTGAGACAATCGCCATGGTACGACTTAAGAGAGATCAGCGGAACCAAGTCTTGGGACGACTGCAAGTTGGCCAGACTGCATCGAGGGTAGCTAATCATTTTAATGTTCATGTTAGGACAATCTACCGACTGCAGGAGTGGTATCAGGTGACTAACAGCATCCAAAACCGTCGACGCAGTGGGCGACCTTCAGTAACATCCCAACGTCAAAACCGACAGATTGTGCGCCACCATCTGCAGGATCGCTGCCCCAGAGCGGGGAAACAGCACGCCAGACCGTTGGGGCTCACAACAGACCCATCAGTGCCGATACAGTGCGTAGACGTTTGCACGGAAGAAACTGCTGTTGTCACAGATCATATCGTAGTCGTTTCCTCACCGCTCACACCGTCAAAACCGACTTCAATGGGCAACTCAGCATCGGTATTGTGTTTCGACTGTCGATGACAGAGTGAGAGTATGATGAAGGCGTGGGGAACCGTTTTCCAATGAGTGTATTGTTGAAAGAGACTCGTGGTATGGTCCAAGCATCATAGTGTCGGGTGCAGTCGGTCTAAACCAGATAACTGGCACCGAGTTGTTCCATAATCTCGGTCCAGGATGAGGAAGTGACGTGACAGCTGCTCGCTATAAGACCCCACGTTGTACCACATTTTGGACGTTCCAGCAAGACAACGCTCGTGCCCACACTGCCAGAGTAACATTGGACTTCCCAAGACAACATGGCATCCAAACCCTACAATAGCCTGCACTCAGTCCGGATTTGAGCCCAGTAGAACACCATTGGGACGAGATTCAAAGAAGACTGAATGACCTCCACCCAAGGCCGACAACTGCTGCTGGATTCGAGCAGGCATTTCACAGAGTATGGACCCAAGTGCCTATTGCTTTCATCAATCAGCTAATTCACTACCCTTTAATCGTTGCCCATACTGGCCACACATAATACTGACTTTGGGGTATCTTAATGGTACCATTTTTGGTGATTTTGATTGTGTGAACTCTAAATGTGATTCCCGAAAGTGTGTTAACCAGTAATTTGTCACGTTTGAACTCAATCCTCCGTTTTGATTGTTAATTAGACTGAATTAAAGTGTGTCCTTTAAGGAACCGCCATCGGTGCGACATTTCTTTTGTGGTTCAGTATATTTCCCAAAGTGTTGCCACTGTTTGGAGTTGTCTGCATTTTAGTGCATTATTTTGACATAACATGTCGTCTGCAGCCCTAATTATGTACTCATGGACAAACGGTTAGTTAGAGCAACCTATGAATTCAGAATGGAATACCATATGGAATACCAGATCTTTTTTGTATATAAGAAATATATTCAAAATAGTTTTCTTACCTTATTATAGAAACATTAATGGTAGAGTTAGCAAATGTATTTATCTCCTGTGATATTAATGTACTGCGCTGATAGCTTTATATCTATGTACATTATCTAGAATGAGATTGACAAATATGTAACACTCTGACACGTGACCCATATGTTCTATCTTACAACTGTACCATGGGTCATGTGGCCAGAATTACGAAGTAAACTTAATAGAATGAATAAAACAAACGTCGAAAGCGTGAATATTTCGCCTTTCCGGCTACATTAAATAAAGTGAAGAGTTAAAGTAAAGTTGTTACATGTTATTCTTCATTTATGACATCTAGGTTACATTTTGGGGTAAGCCATTTAGACAAGAAGCCACCCCATTTGGCACCAGTTGAACTCCAGTTCTTGCAAAACTGTTTCCTTATGCACATGAAAGAGGTTACTTGTGGAAAACACCTCAAGGTCACAAAATATCATTCATAAAATCAACGTCGAATACCCACGTGCATCATGAGCATGTGTTTATGAATCATTGCAGAAATTACGATGATACCGAGTGCTTTCGGAGAATTGTACGTATCTTTCTTTATCCGTTTGTCAGTTTGTCAAAACCCTAAAGAACTGCTACTCTTCAATTGAGTCAAACATAGGATATTTGGACCCACGACTCCCCAGCAGAAAGAAGACAAATGTTTGTATAACACGTATACCTCAAGCCTCGGAACTTCGTTTCCTAAGCGGACCGCCTCCGTGGTGTAGTGGTTAGAGCGTCCGCCCGGAGAGCGGAAGGTCGCGGGTTCGATCCCTGACCGCGTCATACCATGGGGTATTCATGCTTCACTGCGGCATGGTATCTCAGTGGGCTAGCACTATAAAACCAGCTTCAGTCTGGGCTAGTACAAGCAGCCGCACATACACACGCATGCACGTCGTCATATGAGTGAAATATTCTCAAGCACGACGTTAAACCCAATTTCACCTCACCTCACCTCGTTTCCTAAGCATGTTCATGTCAATTTCAGGGTCAGATACAGACAGAGAAACACACCAGCTGACATTACCATGCAGTGATCCATTTCCACCAACTACCTACTACTATGGTGACAGCTTCGATGCTGCTCATGCATATTTTTCACCAGGTATAGAATAACCGACTCCTTACGCATATTCACCGACGCTCTATATCTAATGAAAAAATAATACACTTAAATGATTTATGCATGCATAATCAGTAATTCCAAGATTTAGAAGGGATAGTTTAGGTTTAACCAGTTAAAAGTCGCAGAGAAACTGACACATGACATTTCAGGCTAACAAAGGGACCCCTGATGACAAAGGCTATCGCTTTGGATGACGTAGTGTTGTACATGTCTACATAATGTACCGAGATTGTCACAGTACAAAAGTTTAAGAATTCAACAGCCGCACCCTTGTTTATGATGATTGTAAGGAGAGGTCACCCATTTTGTTCTAGGGGGTGAGTGAGTGAGTGAGTTTAGTTTTACGCCGCACTCAGCAATATTCCAGCTATATGGCGGCGGTCTATATATAATCGAGTCTGGACCAGACAATCCAGTGATCAGTAGCATGAGCATCGCACTGCGCAAATGGGACCGATTTCATGTGTCAACCAAGCCAGTGAGCCTGACCACCCGATCCCGTTAGTCGCCTCTTACGACAAGCATGGGTTACTGAAGGTTAATTTTAACCCGGACCTTCACGGGTATTGTTCTAGGGAGGGGTGTGTGGTGGGGTGTCATAAATTTTGTACATGGCATGCAGGGGGTCTCTTTGTTCATAAATTTTAGGGTGGTGGGGTCACTCACATTGTACATGCCTCTCCATAATAATCATCATCATCAACACACCCCACACTTCACACCCAAACCATAAGTTAAGAACGACCCCTAATGCCATCTTCAGTTCGCGTTATAATTGTTTTCATGCTCTATAACCTCAGGGCAAACGTGTTGGAATACCTACACAAGGGGTCGTTTACAAAATGATCGTGCTGGAGTTATAGAGGATGGAGTGTTGATAGTCTAATCCATATCGACAAATTTAAAGACTCTGTATGGAAACTGTCAAGACAGTATAGCACCTGATAATACTTGACCGACAGGTATGTGTCTAATACTCTTAACTGCATACTTCTTTACTAACGCAGATCAGGCAATGTTACCACTGAAGTTTGTTGGGACTCTCAAGAAGGAACATCCGCATGTGGTGAAACGAGTTGCTGAACTGTTGACATACAATGGAGGGGGATTTGCTGTATTTGGTCGGTCGCTTGCGACAACCTTTAACTTACCAAGTAGCAAACCTCCTGATATTTTGCACTGTGACGTAATAATCATTACACGAAGGTGCCTTCCTTTTTTTATATCTTTCGCATC